CCTAAACCAGTTTCTACAACCTCAATCCAATACGATAGCCAATCGGCAAGTGAACGGGTGCAAAGTGCTATGTATAATGGTAAGTCTCGACATATCCGTCGAAGACACAACACCATTCAATAACTACTCTCAACTGGAGTTATCTCAGTTGACTACATAAGGTCCAAGGATAACAATGCAGATCTGCTAACCAAAGGATTAAATAGGGAGTTAGTTGCAAAGTCGTTAAGAGGAATGGGATTAAAACCCATGAATGAATAAGTTATTGCAAATGAAACCCCAACCTAGTTGACCAGAGCCCAAGATCTAGGTTCAATGGGACAACCTACTTGCATATAACATATATGGATCACTGTGGGGGTCAACCCTAACCCATTCCAATAAAACAAACAATGATGCAGGTTAATCTTATAGTAGTTGATGATAAGTTAGTAATCATCAAGCTTTAGCTTTTAATGATTATGATATAATCACCTATGTGATAGAGAAGCAGGGTCTCTTCAAAGGGAATTGAATGGGCAAGTTCCTAAGAGCTCTTACAGAACCAAGCAAGTGTCCATAACCATAACCGACACATCAATGAGAACCTAACTACGCCAGGGAGACTCATGTGAGATATGTATTGATTATTTACACATATGGAGGAATAGTTCAAGGACATCGAGTCTACTTGTCCACCAGTAAAATAAATATGTATCTTAAGGGAAGGTGTAACACTTGGATTTGTAAGTTTCATGTTTAGCCCTTTGTATTAAAAAGCATGACATTTTGGTCCCTTTTTGGCTAGTACGCGGGGCGTACCATAATGTACGCTTGGTGTACTAGCTAAGGATTGGTCGTAGAGCTCATCCACGTACACTGGGCGTACATGAGCCAATAAGTAACCCTAATTTTAGGGTGTTGCACCCTATTTAAACCTTATGATAGCCCCACTAGGTCATTCTTAGACAACCTCCATCCCCTCTTGTCCAGAAAATCGAACCCTAAGTGAGATCTTGAGAGTTTGAGCCTTAAAGTGTGATTTTGGGTGCTTTGTGAAGGAGAAGAAGAAGTGAACCATTTGGAGTGGTGCTTGGAGCTTGAAGGTCTGAGATTTGTTCTTCATTTGCTTCCCTTGTGAGGTAAAAAGCTTCCATCTTGCTAGATCTAGTTTGGTGCCATTTTTGTACTTTTTAAGTCGATGGTTGGGTTGATGAGCATCTTGATTCACTCCAGAAGTGATTGATGGTAGATCTAGGGTCCTTTAGGTCCCTTTGTCCATAAAAATGCAAGCTTTATGGCATTTATGGTCTCATGCATGAGTTAAGTTATATGTTAAGCTCTTTTGAGCTCTAAAAGCCTCATTAAGCCATGCATGCACGTAAAGTTGGCAACTTTATGTGATAAACCACCTTAAGGAAGTCAGATCTAAGTGTTGGAGTGAAGTCTTATCCGTTTAAGAGCTGAATGCGAAATTTGGTTAAGAGGGTGGAGTACGTTGGGCGTACAAGCATGTACGCTGCCCATACAAGCCTTTAAGCGAGTACACTGAGCGTACGAGCTGAGTACGCCCTGCGTACTCAGCAGTGGGCTTCAGATATGTAGGCTTCTCAGTTTTGGGCTATGTTGGGCTTTGATGTCTTGGGCCTTGTTGGGCCATCAAAATTCTCTTGGTGGGCTGTTAATTGTAATTGGACTTTTTGGTTAATGACCCATGAAAGGGGTTTGGGCCCAATTTAGAAAATTGGGCCATAATTGGGCTTTAAGTGATTATTTTGGAATTTGGGCTTTTGGATTAGTGGATTGGGCCTTGGTCTTGGGCTAAGTTGGGGAAAGGGTAAAAAGGACTTTTACCCTAGTTTGGACTCTTAGTGTGAGTGGGGATCCAAATATTAATTGGATGTTATTTTGTGATAGCCCAGAGATTTTAGCGGGCCAGCAGCCAAAGATTTTTCTGTGAGATTCAACAGTGCGAGGTGAGGTTCCTCACCATGTTTAGCAGGTCTAAGGCACCAATGTCGACCCATGATCTATTATGCTAGAATACTAGATGTATGTGTGACTCTTGTATGTGTATGTGTTTGTATGCTTACTGGGCGGGGCCCGTTATGCGATTTTGGGCGGGGCCCGTTATGCGAGTTTGGGCGGGGCCCGTTATACTCAGTGGGTGGGGCCCGTTATGCGAGTGTGGGCGGGGCCCGAAACACTCATTGAGCGGGGCCCTTTATGTGTTTATTTAGGTATGGTATGTGGTATTTTTGGGAACTCACTAAGCTTTGTGCTTACGGTTTTCAGTTTATGTTTCAGGTACTTCATAATCGAACGGGAAGAGCTCGTGATGATTGCAGAGCACACACCATATTTTTCTGCATTTTGAGATTTACTCTGATATGTTTTGATGTAGTGACATACTTTGATCTTTTGGGGTTGTATGACAATGTTTGGGTTAATGTTTTTATTAAATCAAAAATGAAATTTTTGGGTTTTATTTTTGGGACGTTACAGAAGGTTCAAAGGGTAACACCTACATGCCTTATACATGATTCAACTGCTGGATTTTACCTAAGCAGCTTGAAAAATTTGAGCAATTTTCATTCATGTGGGGGATTGTTGGAAAACTAGTTTTACTAATTTCCAAAAATGGGTTTCTCCAATTTTTGAGCACAAATTTTGAACTCTAAATGTAATAAAAAAAAGGACAAATGATTATATATTCGTGTTCTCCTCCGTGCTACCTTCGTTTTGATATATTATACGTACAAAACAGATTAAAATTGAATGAGAAATTACTTGTCAAAGTAAGGTAGTTGAAAGAGATTAAAAAGGAGTTAATTGGGTTTTGTTCCATCCTACATTGGTGGGACTATGAAAAGAAAATGAGTTTATAACTACAAAGGCTAACTACCTTTGTAAGAATTATAGGACCAAAGCTCTCCCCTGCGCGCGAACACAAGGTGGGTGTAAATGCAAGCCAGTTTAGCTTTGGGCCACTAAACTTGTGTGTGAGCGCTCGTCCTGTGGGTACTAATGCACCTCCGGTCGATCAGAAAAGTTCAAGGACCTTTTTTCAATTATTTTCTTTTTGATTTACAGTTATAAACCAATATTAAAGGATATTAATAAGAGATTTCGGTTTTGGTGTACCAGTTAATTATGCCATTTAATTGACGGTTACGTTTTTGATGTATAATGACATTAGTTATGATTTACAGTATAAATAGAGCATCTCCTTGACTATTTAGATTAAACCGAATGAATCAAAAACAGTCTCCTCTTTCTCTCTTGTACTTCTGCTTCTTCTTCTATCTTTTGCTTCAACCAAGATATAATCCAGGCCAAACGAGGGTTCATGCAATCTAGAAGAATTGTTTTCTACTGTTGTATCCTGGGAAACATACACCCATATAGGGCGAATTTGTTTAAAGGAAATTGTGTCAAACACAGGCCTCATTAACAATTTATTTTTTGTTTTTTCATGCAGATCCTAAGGTTATATTTTTCCTAACAGTATTCTCATGATTATTTAACCAAATGTTCAAGTAATGAAAGTCCAAAGTCAACCATCTTTCTTTCATT